TGCAAAGAAGAATAGCTTCATCCAATATCTCAGAAGAACCCGTCGCCTCTTTGATGAAAAGGGTATGGGCCACACGGCGAGCCATCGAAAAAGGTGAAAGTTGCATATTAGTCGCTATTTTAACGGATAAATGTTGGAATCGGATTGGAGGCCCTACACCCCATCTCCAACCAAGCCTCGACACTAGGGTGCACAACTAATGCATTCTTGCAGTTTATTTCGAACCTTAGGGTTGATGCCTCTGGTCTTGCAGGTGGGCATGTGCGCCCTGTATGCTTGCGCCTCTCAAACAATGGCAGCGGTGCCCAGCAGCAGGAATAGGAGTCTTGGAGCGCAGGTTACTTCCGGCCGGTCAGCACTGCTAGTGCTGACGCTGGCAGCTGTCCTACTTGCTGTCACCGGTAAGGGTCCCTAATCTCTATCTCAGAAATTTCGATTTCAATGTACTCCAGCGCCCTACAAAGCAACGCAGACACTCCTGGTCATTGGCCATCGTTGCCAGCAGCAGTATTAATCGTTGCCAATCCTCTTAATGTGCTGCTGGTTGGTAATGTTCTTGCTGCTGACTCTGACCGACCTACTCTTGACCACCTTTGCTATGCGTGCGTGGGAGCGAGAGAGAAATGATCTTGTAAAACAACCTTGTAGGTTCGTTAGCTCGCACCTTGTTAGGATGCTTCTGGCTATCCAGGATCATCTGAGCATCCTTTCCATTATACCCGGGTATAGGTTTGAATGCTGTGGAAGGCGCCCCTCGACCACCAAAACCTCCAAAGCCATCACCTCGCCCGCCATCACCTCGCCCGCCATCGCCTCGGCCGCCATCACCGCGCCCGCCATCACCGCGCTCATCAAGCCCGCCACCACTGCGCCAGTCTCCACCCCCTCCACGCCCAAACAAGGCACCCCGTCCCCCCCCCCCCCTACCCCGCCACCCGGTGAGCATACGAATATCCAGTGTTTTTTTTTAAGTAATATATTACTTTTAAGGAATAAAGAAGCCTTTTTGGCCTTTGGAAATAAGGAACAAAGTGAGGCCGATCCGTACATTTTCATTCCTTCAGCCAAAAACGTCCATTGCTGCCAGATTGCTCCGTAGTGTGCAGAACTTAGTATTATCGATCATAAAATAGATATGAGGGGCCGTAAGAAGGTCAAGCCCGTGAGTCAACGCGGCATAGCAGAATGTATGACCGGTCCTTCCATAGACAAACACGCAAAAGGCAACGACTTGAACGCCGAACAAACACAAAAACAGCAAGATAAGTTTAAATTTTTTCCT